TGTTCCCCCCCCTCCAGCCAGGCCATTTTGCCCCCTCCAGCCCCTCGGCGCTCACCTGCCGGCTGCGCTTGGATGCATCCTTGGCCGATCGCTGCAGCTTCCCCTTCTCCATGGCACTAAAATTGGGGTGGAAAGGCAAAAAGGCATCTCAGAAAGACCAACCCCCTGCCCCAGTGGCACCCGGCAGCCCCGTTTCGGGGTGGTTTTGCCCCATTCGGGGAGCGGGGCTCACCTCAGCCGTCGCTGCAGGGCCACCTGCCGCCGCAGCCAGCAGTAGCGGATGAGATAGACGAGGGCCACCACCACGGCCACCAGCAGCAGCGCCGCACCGATGATGGAGCCCAGCACAACGCCGTAGCGGGTGGGCACTGCGGGGACACCAGTGTCCCATCAGCCCTCCTGGCCGGAGCAGGGAAACTGAGGCAGGGAGGGGACCAGCGGCACCTTACCTTTCTCAAAGACGTAGAGCGTGACCTGGGAGGACTTGCCCACAATGTCAGGGGGGTTCTTGACGTCGCAGGTGAAGGTGCCGTTGTCGGTGTAGTCCAGGTTGTGGATGACGATAGAGCCATCCTTGCGGTGGGGGTTGCCCACCCACTCCATCCGCTCCTTGAAGCTGCCCACGTCATCGATGTAAGGCTGGCCCTTGGCGTAGTGGAATATCTAGCGATGGAGACAGACACACGGACATTGGGGTCATCGTGCCTCCGGGCATGGCAGGGCCACCCCGTGCCCCAAAGCGGAGCGGGTGCTTACGGAGGTGCTGTCGCGGGTTCCCTCGGCTTGGAAGTGCCACGTGATGGAAATGTCCTCGGAGATCCACTCACTGGACCAGAAGCTGCAGGAGAGGGTGACGTGGGAGCCGACGGTGCCATACACCTCCCGCTGCGTGTACACGTGGATGGAGGACGTCGGGGATGGCCCTGCCAGGGGGCACAAACCCGTCAGCTCTGCGGGGCACCCCGGCACAGGGATGGTGCCCATCACCGGGGCTGCTGGCCGGTCTATGCCCCCATGCTGGCCCCGTGCCCAGCCCCGTGCTGCCACCAAAGGGCTTTGGTTGGCCCCGGGAGAAAGCACAAGGACTGGCAGGGGACAGTGGCTCTTTGTGCCGCTGCGGGTGCCTTTGTGGGGAGCCTCCGCCCTGGCTCAAAGGGAATCGTGTCCCGGTGCCGGCTGGTGCCCGGGCACGCTGGCAGGGCTGGGTCCAGCACCCAGCACCCCTCGCCCGTCCCCAGGGAGGTGGCTGATGCTGGGATTCCCCTTGCAGCCCGGTGACGGGGACCAGGGCACGGCCACGGATAGCATTACCACCACCAGTGACAGCCCCAAAACCAGACGTGTGGGTGGCTGCCAGCCCCACAGCCTCCTCCCAGGGGTCTGGAGCTCCCCAGGTACACCCCAGCACCCAGGATCAGGATTTGGGGACCAGCAGCCCTGGTCCCCCATCCCCAGCTTACCCAGCGCCGAGAGGAGCCCGAGGAGGAGGAGGCTGCTGGTGCCCCTGGTGCCCTGCGACATGGTGGC